CATAATATTAACAGATTTTATCATAGGGGTCAAACATGTACATGTCATGACTAGCTGTCCAAATTTTAGCCGCACATAATTATTAAACTTACATCCAGAAATAAAAGCCTTGAGAATATTTTCATTATTTTGTTCCTTCAAATATAAAATAGATTATTTTTCGCATGATTGAACCATCGTCACTGTAGTGTGCTGATTAAAATACCCATGTTTCAATATCCCGTATAAAACACACTGATGCAAAACAGTGTTTCAATTAATTAAATGTGTATTTTCTTTCTTGCGGCACAGATACGCTATCAGGGTTGGGTAATCGGACAAGTGAATTGTCCGATGAAAACTAAATTGTCCATAATTTTTTTTCAGAAATAAGAAAACTTCTGTTCGGAATCAAGCAAACCAAATAATTAGGACAGTAATATACATCCGTTTTTTTACACTATATATTTTAATAGATCAATGGACACCGGCAAATTTATATGTCCAGTGTCCGGTAAAATTCATCGGACATGGAGGCTGCCCAACCCTGACCGTTATAGCTACCGTCTTTTGTTAGATACATCATATAAGACCCGAGTATTTACTCAGTGCACTACGTCAATAAACACTTTAGCAAACCATGTGTCCATTTTTTTTTTCATTAATATATACTTCATAATAACTAATTAAACTATAATGCACGATCTCTAAACCATTTATGAACAAATCAACTTTGGAACGCGAAGTTTGTTCTCGTTTTATTTCATCGTGTTCAATGAAATTAATCTTTTGGTTTTTGGCAGCTTTATCTAGCCAATCAAGCAAGGTTATTGTTGACGACATCGTTGGCAACGCATTTTCGTACCTACCTACGTACGTACGAACGTACACCAAATCTTTATATATCATATGTGTATGCAGCATGAAAAAATTCTGTGCCAGGTTTTGTTGATCATTGTGACGCAGTCAAAATTTTTAAAGTTCAAAATGTTAGGGTTAGCGTTTAGAATAAGGCTAGAGATTAGGAGCCTATATAGTAAAATCGCTCAAGAAAAACT